TTTAATTGGATATGGCAGTTAAAAGCATTTAATGGTGGCACGTTTTCGTATCAAGACCAAAATATGTTAATTAATCACGAGTGTTGAATCTGCAATTTACACCTTTTCTTAATGAAGTGGCAAGAGAATGGAGTGTTCATGCTCCATTAATGACAAAATGTTTTCCCAGCAAGTCAGTCCACCCCTGCGGGCACCCACAAGGAGCTACCCTACTTGACAGTGGCCGCTTCCCAATTACACCAAAATCTATTTGCAGTTGACTCGTCTCTTCTACTTTTGGTGTTGAAGCACATTGAAGTACAAGAAGGATTCCTTTAGTTTTCGTCTGTGATTTTTCAGGAATATGACCACTTTAAGATCATGCCACCGTTTCTATCTCCAGTTATAGATCTCATCCAAGAAGCCTCAGATAAAATCCTCTACCAAATGACGGTTCCTGTTGCAACACTGTATTTCAAATAGGAAGATAATTATATCTGGGGTTATATCTGAAACTAGACTATACAGAGTGCGATGGACAAATTGTCGCTATTTTATATTTTAAATTTTGCGCATGTGCGTTGTTTGTTTTTAATTTTGTCGACTGCACATTATAGTAGGGTTAGTTGGGGACTGTCTCTGAGAAAAAGACAATAGGACGCAATTCCCTCCATCAAGAATTTGTATCGGCATGGTGTACTGCTTATAATTCGTTCTAGTAGCATCAGTACTAACATTTCAATGTGTTTATGCGTCAACCTGAGGACAGTGCAGTGGATTCCGAAAGACATGGATAAATCTAATGGTGTTCGGAATGATGGTGACATTAGGCCTCCATTCATCTTCCCAATGGCTCAGCACGGAGGCCTATATTAAATGCCTTGAGAAGGGTAATACAGAGTTGGGTCATGAAGGTGAATGCTGGAAGATACTATATCTAGCAACTGGCCTCTGCACCATGCCACACAAGCAGGAGAACCGAGTCATGGCCGTCAGACAATTTCTGCGACCATATCACAGCTTACATCTGGCCACCTAACTCTCCAGTCTGCAACGCGTCCTGGGTAAGACGATAAACTACAACAGCAAGGCGTTTGATCAGGAGGTTTGAGGAGCATGGAACCACCTCTTAATTGCTAGCGTTCCCAGGTTCACTCTGACCCGGGGTAGTATCACCTGTTAGAGTCCCAGCTATGGGCACAAAGTTAACCCTCAAATATGGGTCCGAACAATATGAAAATGTAAAAATAGATTTAATAACAGAAATACTTTGTAAAAAATTATCAGCAATAAATTTTTGAAGAAAAAGTATTCCCAGCAATACATGATGTAAAATAATTTTACCAGCTATAAATTTTTGAAGGAAAAAAATATTACTAGCAATAAAAAATTGTTGGCATTAAATAACCCATTGAGGTGTTGATATGCCGTAAAACAAACCAAACAAACAAACAAACCAAACCAGATTGCAACCTTTTATGTGTGGAACGCATATGAGCGAGAGACCAACAAAACTCCTTGTAACACCAAAGATGAACTAAAGGTAAATATTATGGCACCATTCACCAACTTAAGGCAAAGAGACCATCTAGAAGAAATGCAGAAGTTTCAAATGTCGCTTGGAGGCTGTGGTTGAAGCCAATAGCGATTTTATTGGAGGCATTTACTCATTAGTATTTTAGGATAATTTGGTGTAACTTTGGTAAATATATCTGTTAAAATGAGATATCAGTGTTACTTTCATTTTACGTCATTTAGACGACAGTTTATACATCGCACCATTTAGATATGACGTCATCGAACAGCGCCATCTTGAAAGATTGTAAGGAGACAGGGATCGTTATCCACGGTTTTAGTTCACTGACTTAAAATGTAAAATCTCCTTTTTCAAAATGTCTTAAGTTAAGAAAACTCTGCCTAATGTATCTCAAAGGAGGAACATGTATAAAATGAATTCATCTCACAGAAGAAGAAGAGACTTCAAGCAACAGAGATGTAGTCCTGCAGAAGGATGCTGAGAATACCATGGACCTAACATCTTTGCAACGACAAAGCTTTAGATAAAATGGAAACAAAAAGGTCACATACTTAGCATTCAAAAGAGACAGTTGAAGTTGCTAGGGGGCATAATAAGGAAAGAGGGCTTAGAAAATTTGATACTCACAAGGTAGCACTAAGGCAAGAGGGTCACAGGAAAAGCTCTTATAGCCATGATTACCTCCGTCCTGAAGTGAGACGACACATAAAAGAAGAAGAATGAGCATGCGTAAAAATTATTAAGAGATAGAAAAATCAGGAAGTTGTGGAGAGTCATGAACGCTAACGTTCTGAAGAGATACGGACCATAGAAGAAGAATGAGGTTGAATAGATGGATGCCGGAACAAGGTTTACGAGAGATGGTAAAAAGACTACATTCATTAAGATATACAAAGGATAGGAAATTGTGGAGAGCTATGATTGGCAACGTCCTGAGGGGACACGGTACATAGAAGAAGAATGTGTTTGAATAAATAGATGTTTCAAGAGGGACTTGGCAAAAAGACAGCATTTATTGATATACAAAGGATAGGAAATTGTGGAGAGCCATGATCGGCAACGTCCCGAAAGGAAACGGCAGATAGCAGAAGAAAAAAAATCTATCTTGACGAACAGCTGTTCCCTTAGCTGTTCTCCGTACCTTGAGCGCCTCTTGGAACTTAATTTCAACCCAGACCTCAAGTAGAACACGTATATACGACCCATCGCTAAAGATGCCGGAAAAATGGTCGATTTCTTGTACCACACCAGCAAGTACCTGACTCCTCCTGATATCCTCCACCTTTAAAAGATACAGATCAGTCCGAAAATGAAGTATTGGTGACATATATGGTCATGAGCTGTTCAGTCCCCATTCTCCAGTATTGAAAGAGTTAAAAATTGTCACCGCGTCTTTGTGGGCTCTGAATTATTTTTCTCCCTACAGTTTATTTCCTAAAGACTCTATTTCCATGGAAATTGTTCAGACGATCTACATTCCTTAGTTGCACCATTTCAAACCTTCATGCCTAAGACCCGTCATGCCACGCCCAATCTAGCGAACCAGCCTCATTACCTTCCGGTTCCATTGGTGAGATGTAGGTTCCACTCGGACAGTTTCTTCCCACGAACCGTTGCTTTGTGGAAACGACTCCCAAGAGAATAATTCACAGATCGCTTCAATCGTAAACTGTCTAAGATTAACCGTTATCTTCTTTGAATATGAACTTCACTTCTTGACTTTTCTTATAATCATACATCAGAGAGTAAGCCTCTATCTTGATTGGCTCTTGGGTAAATATTAGTATAAAAAAAACACGGGTAACTATACATGTGTAGCGAGTTTTGATCATCTGCAAAGGTTTGTAAATGACAAGGGAATTATGACTAATAAATGTACAACGCCAGAATGAATGGGAAAATACAAGAGACTCCTAACGTTTCATCTCTGTGAAAGGGATATTAGGATAGAAAATAATTAATCACTCTCAAAGCTGTGCAGGCAGGCATGAGATGATTGGATAACTCTAGCTTAGATAGGGTAGCAATACTCCATTTTTGTCTGATCTGGCTCTGGTAAGGATTAAGCATTAGTAGGAAAAGTTGGAGATTTACTGGAGGGAAACTTTGAACCAAGCATTTCTTTTTATGAAGTAAAACGAAATAAAATATCTCCAAACATTTACAGCATTCATCGTATTCCGTTTATCGCGCTATATAAAAGTAGAACACTATTCACTCAGAATTCGGTCCTTTGATGAGACTAATGTGACAGCCTGGAAGCTGATATATGAAGGTTGTGCGCTGACCAGATTACATACTGCCAATCTCGGCCATATCGAGAAGATCCAAATGGCATCGGCCCTGTTTTGGCGTCTCGGCTTCAGTCATTTTCCTTCCGCCGTCAGTTTGTCTTCATTTACCTTTTCTATAAATACTTTCATAGTAATTCTTAGGATGAGCTCTTCGCTATGGGGACTTTCGATACATGACCGACGAGGCAGATTTTTTTCCTGCAGTTAGGTTGCTATTACTTTCCAATGCTATAGAACCCTGTCTTGAATTCGAACTCGGCTCTACAATTCCTCAGTTCGAGCCGCTATCTATTACTCTACCTTGCCTCAGGACTAGTTATTAATGTCTCGATGAAGAAGAAAAAAAAAAAACAACTATGGGGACTAATTATTTTTTTCATAGAGACATTGAGCTATTATGATTAATGTAGTAAGAAAGGTAAGTAAAATTGTGTTGTTTTGGTGTAAGGAATATTGTTGTATGTTTGGGTCAGTGATTGTGGTTAGCTCACTTTAAATTTAAGACAGAAGAAGACCGTCCTTTTTTCTCGATTCCCCATTTTGGCCTTGTGCCACATTTCTGTACATAATGCAGAATGTATATCGCTCTTCGCTATGGCGTCTAGACTGTTTGAATTTAAGCGCAGTACTAGAGAGGCGAGGTGGTCTTATCAATTTACATTTGAGCTGGCTAGATGTAAATTATATGCTAACAATTTCTTTTCTTTCGCTTCACCCTTGTGGAATTCCCTTCCAGCTCAATGCTTTCCAGCTAACTTTAATCTATAATAATTTAAATGCAATGTCAATCGCACTTATTCTTCTGGTGTTTTCACTCTTTAGTAAAGTCTATGTTTTCTTATTCTTCAACATCCAGTAACCCGTTGAGTCTTAGTGGCTTTTAATGCCTAGTATGGGGTGATTCCGATTTAAAAAAAACAAAGCAAAAAAAACCCCAAAAAAACAGGGCAATACATTTTTGGTCGGCTAGACTGCAGAAGTTGTCGGAAAGTTATCAGTATTGAAAACAGACTGCTTTTGTGTCTTCAGCCAGAGTTTTCTGTCTGGATTTATTTCCATAAATTTTCTGTATTTGAGAAGGTTTCAAATACGAGTTTTCTTTCATCTAGATGGACAGTCTAAATTAAAGAAAGATAGAAAAAGTGGGAATGAAAGAAAAATGTGGAAACGAAACTAAGAACAATTGATATCTAATAGGAAAAAAAAGAAAGAAAAAGCAGATGAAAAAGAAAGAAAAAATTAAGAAAGAAGTAAAAGAAAAGAAATTCGAATGTCACTTGAAGATCATAAGTAAAGAATGATGAAAAACAACAACAGAAAAACAAGAAATGAAGGAAAAACAATGGAAAGAAAAAAGATGGAAACAATATTGAAGCGAAGAAGAAATCAAATGAAAAAGCAAACCAAAGAATGAGGAAGGAAGTATTTCTGAAAAAGAAAAGAAGAAACAAAAGATGAAGAAAATGGAAATAAAAGAAGAAAATGCGGAAACGAAAAAAATAATGAAAAAGAAAAAAAAATCAGATAGAAAGAAAGAACAAATATGAATGATTGAAGAAAATAGTTAACGAAAAACGAAAAAAAACGAATGAAGGAAAATGAAAGAAAAAGAAAATTGGATAAACATGTAACATCCGGAAGGTAAGACATAATGTAAATGAAAAATGAAGAAATGAAAGATAATTGAATGAAAAGAATAAAAAAACAAAAAACGGGAGAATCAAAGAAGACAAAAAGAAAGAAATGAAAAACATAAAAGAAAGAGAGAAAAAGAAAAGAAAGATACAAGTAAGAAAGTAAAGAAAGGAAGAAGAAATGATGAAAAATAGAAAGAAAGAAGAGACAGAAAACGTGAAACGAAAAGTAAAGGAGAAGATAAGGAAAAGGAAGACAAATAGAAAAATAAAATATAAAGGTACCATCAAAGTAAAAAAACAATTAATAAAATAAAGAAAAGAAAAAGGAAAGAAATAAGAAATAAAAAGTAAAAAGAAAGAAAGGAAAAATAATGTGATGAAACAATCAATAAAGAAAGAAAAAAAGAAAAAGATAACTTGATAGCGACCTTCATTTGAATTCAGTAAAAATATTGTCAGACACTAACAAAGATAAAAAAGGAAAACATACAATGAAAAAAAAGGTCAATTATAATGTCTTATTTTGCCCTTCAATTAGAATGTTATTTTTTTCACCGAAGAATACGTTGAAGGAATTACAATTTTTTTTTTTTAAATATTATTTTCATTTTATTTTTTGGCGCGGCCATGTCTGGTCCTTAACTACATATCACCCAATGACAAAACATTGTCGATTTGTTGACAGAATAAGGCTGGAGTCTATTTTCTAAGTTGACTTCCGTCGGACATGTTGACAATTTTACTGCCTTTTGTTGTATCCGTCAAATCTTGACACAAAATGGCGACAGATGAAGTCACGATTTTTCCCGCCATCGTATTTTTCTATGGAAAATGCTGCAAGGAAAATAAGGTGAAAACAAGCTTAAGTAAGGCAACACACAGACACAAGCACAAATGAGCAAACACATGCACAAACACAATCTCTCACAGACACGCACCAGTATGCACATTTTATCTCTCTCTCTCTCTCTCTCACACACACACTGAAACAAACAGAAACTCTCAGACACACACATTCTCTCTTAAATTCTCACACACGCAAACAGACACAATGAATATTGACACACATGGACACATTCGGGCAAAACCAAAAAAGAATAAAAAACATATCCACTGAAACACCCACAACGAAATATACTCAAATGGACATCCATACATCAGGTAATAAGCAAAAACAAACTTTGTGTATATATAGACACTAAAGAACTCCTACAAAGAAAGAGCAGCCAAGTATATGTAAATACATGCAAACACACTCGGGCGCAAATACACACACAAGCATACTTACAAAAAGAACGAATGAATGTTATGGCTTGATTTTTTTTGTATAATAAAAGACAGCGAGATAAATAAAGAAAAAAAATGAAAGAGAGAATAAAACAGAAAAATGAAAGGAAAAAACGAAGAAGGAAAGAAAAAATGAAAAATGAAAGAAAAAATGAAAAATGAAACAAAGAATGAAAGAAAAAGTGAAAAATGAAAGAAAAAACTGAAAATTGAAAGAACAAAATGAAAAATGAAAGAAAAAGTGAAAAATGAAAGAAAAAGTGAAAAATGAAAGAAAAAAAATGAAAAATGAAAGAAAAAATGAAAGAAAGAATGAAAGAAAAAACTGAAAAATGAAAGAACAAAATGAAAGAAAAAGTGAAAAATGAAAAAAAAATAAAAGAAAAAATGAAAAATGAAAGAAAGAGTGAAAGAAAAAAGCGAAAAATGAAAGAAAAAATGTAAAATGAAAGAAAGAATGAAAGAAAAAGTGAAAAATAAAAGAACAAAATGAAAAACGAAAGAAAAAGTGAAAAATGAACGAAAAGATGGAAAATGGAAGAAAAAATGAAAAATGAAAGAAAAAGGGAAAAATGAAAGAAAAACTGAAAAATGAAAGAAAAACTGAAAAATGAAAGAAAAAGTGAAAAATGAAAGAAAAAAAAGAAAAATGAAAGAAAAAATGAAAGAAAGAATGAAAGAAAAAACTGAAAAATGAAAGAACAAAATGAAAAATGAAAGAAAAAGTGAAAAATGAAAAAAAAAATAAAAGAAAAAATGAAAAATGAAAAAAAAAGTGAAAAATGAACGAAAAGATGGAAAATGGAAGAAAAAAATGAAAAATGAAAGAAAAAGGGAAAAATGAAAGAAAAAGTGAAAAATGAAAGAAAAAGTGAAAAATGAAAGAAAAAGTGAAAAGAAAAAAAAATGAAAAATAAAAAGAAAAAAAAAAAAAAACTGAAAATGAAAGAACAAAAATGATAAATGAAAGAAAAAACTGAAAAATGAAAAAAAAAAAAAAAAAAAAAACAAAATGAAATAAATGGAAAGAAAAAGAAAATGAAAGAAAAAAAAAAATGAAAAAAAATAAAAGAAAAATGAAAAAAATGAAAAGAAAGAACAAAATGAAAACGAAAGAAAAATGAAAAAAGAAAAAAAGATGGAAAATGGAAGAAAAAAATGAAAAATGAAAGAAAGAATGAAAAAAAAAGTGAAAAATGAAAGAACAAAATGAAAAATGAAAGAAAAAGTGAAAAATGAAAAAAAAAATAAAAGAAAAAATGAAAAATGAAAGAAAGAGTGAAAGAAAAAATCGAAAAATGAAAGAAAAAATGTAAAATGAAAGAAAACATGTAAAATGAAAGAAAGAATGAAAGAAAAAGTGAAAAATGAAAGAACAAAATGAAAAACGAAAGAAAAAGTGAAAAATGAAAGAAAAGATGGAAAATGGAAGAAAAAATGAAAAATGAAAGAATGAAAGAAAAAAGTGAAAAATGAAAGAAAAAGACAAAAAGAACAAAATGAAATTAAAATGAAAAACAACAAGAACGGTGAAAGAAAATATTTAGAAAAAGAAGAAGAAATGCAAGAAATGAACAAAAGAATGAAGAAAAAGAAAACGATGATAGAAAGGGGAACGAAAAAGGAGAAATGAGAAAAAGAATGAAAATAAAAATGAAAGACAGAAAACGGCGACAGATGAAGTCACGATTTTTCCCGCCATCCTATGAAAAGGACAGTTGTCGTCGTCGTCATCTGCGGCCAATGGGCAAATGATCCAGAATCTGAGAGGTTGACGTCAGCGTGCCGTCTCCATGTCTTGTGTCCGAGGAGTCCATTATTTACGGCATTAGATAAGAGAGAGATGGAGAGGAAAATAGAAAAGAAACAAAGAATGAGCGGAATAAAGGAAACATAATATTTAAAGACAGAGATAGAGAATGGGAAAAATAGAATAAATCATAAAAATAGTAGATGGCAAAGAGAGATAGAAAGGGAAGGAGAGTGAGCGTGTGAGAAAAAGAAAAGAAAAGAGAAAGTGAGAGATCTAAAGTGTGAGAAACCGAAAGAGAGCGCGAGAAAGAGAAAGAAAGATCTAAAGAGAAATTGAATGAAAGAAAGGGAGAGGGAGAAAGGGTGACAGTGACAAAGAGTTAGAGAGAAAGAGAGATTGTGAGAAAAAGAGAAAATAAGACAGAGGGTGAAAGAGAAATAGACAGAGAGAAAGAATGTGAGAAACAGAGTGTGAGAAAAAGACAATGTTAGGGAATGAGAAAGAGTGTGAGAAAGGGAGAAAGATGAAAATAATGTGAGAAAGATAGTGTGAGAAAGAATTAAAGAGAGACAGAGAGAGAAAGACAAAGTGAGTGTAAGAAAGACAGAAAGGTAGAAAGAATGAGAGGGAGGGAAAGAGAGAAGCAGATAGTAAGACATAGAAGAAAAGAGAGAGTGTGTGAAAAAGAGAATGTAAGAGAGAGAGAGAGAAGCAAATAGAAAAAGAGAGAGAAAAAAGTGAGAAACAGAGTGTAGAGAAAAAGAGAAAGTTAGGGAATGAGAAAGCGAGTGTGTGAGAGAGAAAGATGAAAATAATGTGAGAAAGTGAGTGCGGAAAGAATGAAAAACAATCAGAGAAAAGAGAGAGAGAAAAAGTGAGTGTGAGAAATATAGAAAATGAAAAAGACTGATAGAAAGAAAGTAAGGAAGAAAGAAAGAAAGAAAAAACAAATGAAAGAAAAAAGAATAAAAGGAAAAGGGAAAGAAATAAAAGAAAGAAAAAATGAAAGAAAGAAAGGAAGAAAAGGGAAAGAAAGGAATGGAAAGAAAAAAAGAAATATAAGGAATCGATTGGAAAAGAAAGAAAGAAAGAAAGAAAGAAAGAAAGAAAGAAAGAAAGAAAGAAAGGACTAGGAAAAATGAGGAATCTTTTAAAAAAGACAGAAAAACAGCGAAGTAAGGAACGGAGAAAGAAAGAAAAAGAATGAAAGGAAAAGGGAAAGAAATAAAAGGAAGGAAGAAAGAAAGAATGAAAGGAAGGAAGGAAGAAAAGGGAAAGAAAGAAAGAAAGAAAGAAAGAAAGAAAGAAAGAAAGGAAAGGAAAGGAAATAAAAAAGGAAATATAAGGAATCGATTGGAAAGAATGAAAGAAAGAAAGAAAGAAAGAAAGAAAAAAGAATGAAAGAAAGAAAAAACAAATGAAAGAAAAGAAGGAAGAAAAAGGAAAGAAAGAAAGAAAGAAAGAAAGAAAAAACAAATGAAAGAAAAGACAAGGAAAAATGAGGAATCTTTTAAAAAAGAAAGAAAAACGGCGAAGTAAGGAACGGAGAAAGAAAGAAAATAGAATGAAAGGAAAAAGGAAAGAAATAAAAGAAAGAAAGAAAGAAAAAATGAAAGAAAGAAAGGAAGAAAAGGGAAAGAAAGAAAGAAAGAAAGAAAGGAAAGGAAAGAAAAAAGGACATATAAGGAATCGATTGGAAAAGAAAGAAAGAAAGAAAAAAAGAAAGAAAGAAAAAGAATGAAAGAAAGAAAGAAAAAACAAATGAAAGAAAAGGAGGAAGAAAACGGAAAGAAAGAAAGAAAAAAAACGAAGAAAGAAAGAAAAAAACAAATGAAAGAAAGGACTAGGAAAAATGAGGAATCTTTTAAAAAAGAAAGAAAAACGGCGAAGTAAGGAAGGGAGAAAAAAAGAAAAAGGAATAAAAGGAAAAGGGAAAGAAATAAAAGAAAGAAAGAATGAAAGAATGAAAGAAAGAAAGAAAGAAAGAAAGAAAGAAAAAATGAAAGAAAGAAAGGAAGAAAAGGGAAAGAAAGAAAGGAAAGGAAAGAAAAAAGGAAATATAAGGAATCTATTAGAAAAGAAAGAAAGAAAGAAAGAAAGAAAGAAAGAAAAAAAGAAAGAAAGAAAGAAAGAAAGAAAGGACTAGGAAAAAATGAGGAATCTTTTAAAAAAGACAGAAAAACGGCGAAGTAAGGAACGGAGAAAGAAAGAAAAAGAATGGAAGGAAAAGGGAAAGAAACAAAAGGAAGAAAGAAAGAAAGAATGAAAGGAAGGAAGGAAGAAAAGGGAAAGAAAGAAAGAAAGAAAGGAAAGGAAAGGAAATAAAAAAGGAAATATAAGGAATCAATTGGAAAGAATGAAAGAAAGAAAGAAAGAAAAAAGAATGAAAGAAAGAAAGAAAAAAGAAAGAAAGAAAAAAGAAAAAAGAAAGAAAAAACAAATGAAAGAAAAGAAGGAAGAAAAAGGAAAGACAGAAAGAAAGAAAAAAACGAAGAAAGAAAGAAAAAAACAAATGAAAGAAAGGACTAGGAAAAATGAGGAATCTTTTATAAAAGAAAGAAAAACGGCAAAGTAAGGAAGGGAGAAAGAAAGAAAAAAGAATAAAAGGAAAAGGGAACGAAATAAAAGAAAGAAAGAAAGAAAGAATGAAAGAAAGAAAGAAAGAAAAATGAAAGAAAGAAAAAATGAAAGAAAGAAAGGAAGAAAAGGGAAAGAAAGAAAGAAAGGAAAGGAAATAAAAAAGAAAATATAAGGAATCTATTAGAAAAGAAAGAAAGAAAGAAAAAAAGAAAGAAAGAAACCCTCTACTTGAACCCTCTTCCTTTATTGCCCTTTCCTTAATCCTTTACACGAAAATCTTCTCGTTTTCTTTCAGGCTCTGTAATCCTTTCTATTCTAGTGGCATTATCGCTTTGCTTCCGGGTTTCACAACTTAAAAAAAAGAAAAGAAAAGCATTTTTTTTAATCATCTCACCCCATGCAAGGCTGTACAACCACTAAGACACTAGTAGTTAATGAGTGTAGAAAAACAGAGAGACGTCAGAAGTGAAAAGAAAAGAAGAATATTAATAAGGAACAGAGTAGATAACGATTGACATTGCATTTAATTTTTAAATTATCAAAGTTGGCTGGAAAGCATAAAGCCGGAAGAGAGTTCCACAAACGAGAAAAATGTCTTAGTGTAACATCAAGCTAGTTCAACTTTGAATTTATGAAACCTAGACGCCAACCTAGTACTGCGCTTAATTCATGAAATCTAGAAGAGTTCATCACAACAATTACTATGAAATGATAATGAAAGAAAGAATGAAAGAAAGAATGAAAGAGATGAATGAATGAAATAGAAAATATAAAGGAGAAAGATGAAGGCAAATGGATGAAGAAAAGGAAAAAAAAAAAAAAACAAAGAAGAACCAGACGCACAACACACACATAGACACACACATAGACACACACATAGACACACACATATCCTCTAATCAAACATACTACGGCGGCATAGAACACGTATACAAATACGATATACATTCAGTACAAAGACAGGCACATATTACACATTTTTTAAGCAGACATATTAAACAGACACAGACACACACAACATATTTTCAGGATTTTCAGGTTTCAACTTTCTCGATGCAAATCTACCAACACAACTCGGTTTCAGTCACTTTACCACTGCTGTAAGGTTACCGCTCTGTGCATATTTTTTATAAATAATTTCATGGTAATTGTTAGGATGAGTTTTTTCCTATGGTTCATTTAAGTTGACTTCGCTAGAAGATGTATGCTGATTGGTTAATTTTATTTCTGTCCCTATTTTCTTTAGTTTAATTTTCCTTCTCTCCCCATTTAGCTGTGCAGAGACGTCAATTCTCAGGTGGATACGGGGCGCCTTTCGTTTAGGGTGTGATTTTCGTATTTGTGTTTGAGTGAATATTTAGACAAATGAGTGGTTTATATTTTTTAAGAAAGCCCCGCATTGATTTCGTCCAGCTAACTGATGTTTATGCCACAATTAAGCATTTTTTTTTTGTTTTTTTTTCTTTTGATAACACAACTTTATTTATTTTCTTATAAATAGTTTTGTTTCATTTTTGTAAATAACCACCGGGGTTTAGATTTTAAAGATTGTTATTTTATTCCCCCACCTCCACGGACATGAATTGTATATATGGTGATGGTTTAGGTTTTTATCATAGAGACCTTAATGCATTATCGTGGATGACTGTAAGTATGCTAATTAAGAATGTGTTGTTTTGGTGTAAGAAATATTGTAGTATATTTGGGTCAGTACTTGTGTCAAGCTAAGTTTAATGTTAAGACAGAAGATCATTCTTTTTCCCCCATTCCGCATTTTGGCCTTATGCCACACTTCTGTAGATAAGCGGAATAAATATCACTCTTCGCTATGATACCTGGACTGTATGATTTTAAGCGCAATACTAAACTGGCGTCAAGATCTCATCAATTTACAGTTGAGCTGGCTAGATGTCGACGTAACTTTTATGCTAACATTTTCTTACCTTGCACATCTCGCTTGTAAATCTCCCTTCCCACTCCATGCTTTTTCAGCCAGCTTTTATGTGCTAAAATTTAAATGCAATATCAATCACTATCTATTGTCCTCCTGCTTGTTCTTGTCTCTTTCTGTTCATTACTAACGTTTCTGCTCTTAATTCCTCCATACCATATCACTCTTTCAATGTTAGTAGTTGTACTGCTTTGCTTGGCGTGATAGCGATTAAAAAAAAAAAGGAAAATAAAAAAAGTGTATTGCCTCAAACATAGAGACAAAAAAATTGAGCAAATATGAATAGCAGATAACTAGCGAATCATGTCCATTTTTATGTTTGGTTAAGGAACTTTCTGACATAGAGAAACAAACATTCTCATTGAAATACATTAACCCCGGATTTACAAAGTTTCTCCTCGCTTCGTCCATGGGAACAAAGACTCTCACTAGACAATGCTGATTTCGAGTGAGCCGTCCTAAAGGAAAACAAGATTCAAGAGCAAAACAAACGATTATATGCCACCGTTGTCGACTTGATAAAACGCGTGACACACTAAACAGATCGGGTTTTTGGTTTTCCCCAAAGGAGGCTTGGTTGACTTACCAAATTCCTCAGTTTCCTCATTAAACAACATAAGACGCAGATGTATCAACCCAACATTATATTCTCTCAGACTTCTTTTTTTTTTAATGTCTTCACTCATTGAAAACCCAGGAGGCCCTCCATGTAGAATTTGGTTGGATCGTTTGTTTGCTTGACTTTGCTTAGCGACCTATCAATCTTATGCCAGAATCTAAATATTTTGAACACAATTTTAAGGCTTGAACTAACTATATTTTAAACGCAATTGTATGACAAACTACAGATAAAATACATTGTTGATCATTTTGCTATAAATATGTATTGTTGGTGATTTCAATCATTCGTCCAGACATTGAATCCTACTGCCATATCTGAGCTTGAGCTCTTGCTGTACATCTCGAGATTCTTGACGAAATCCAATGAACTGTAATATAATTGATCCTGACTAGGTATCTCAATTTCAGTCACTTTATTATCAATTTGACGTGGTCTGACTTTTCTACATATAATTTCATGACAAGTCCTCTGGCGAGTTTTTTTTTTTTTTTACCTCTGGTATCTTCATCACATGAATTTAAGCGTGCTACTAGATTGGCAATTAGGTCCCACCGTTTCATTGTTAAAATACCTAAATGTAACCGCCATTTATACTCCAACAGTTTCTTTTCTCGCACTTCTCACTCGTGGAAATCTCTTCCGTTTCTATACTTCCCTGATAAGTACAAGATTCAAAAATTTAAATGCAATGTCAATCGCCGTTTTCTATCTTCTTGAAACCCGTTAATATTTTGTGTGTTCCTCAGTCTTTCCAATAATTAGTTTTTGCTCCCAATCACTCCCTACAATCCTCGGCATACTAGTGGCATTTCCACCTTGCTTGGGTTGAAATGATTTAAAAAATATAGTATTGTTGGTAATTTTATTATAAAAATGTATTTTTATACATTTATGGTGTTTTGTTTATGTTTGAGTTTTCAATATTTGCCCATAATTCGGATCCTATCACGTGCTATTATATCAGGTCATGGGTCAACCTGGGAATAACTAAAATAAGATGTGATTACACGCTCCTGCAAACCTTCAAAATTACGATTAGATTTTCTTTAATGGCATATCAACACCTCTATGGGTTATTTAATACCGAAATATAAATAATCTGTACGTAATTTTATGCTTTCAATTTATTTTGTTACAGTTTTTTGTGTATATATATACGTAACTAGTGAGTTAGTCAAAATGACTTAATTCTCTTTATAGTCTACCAATACTGTCTCCGTAATTTTTTGTTTTCGGGGTTATTATTTGCCCATAGCTTAAACCCTAACTGGTTCAGCCACCACAGGTCAGAGTGGACCGGGGAATAACAGCTATTAAGAGTCCCTCAAAACCCCCAATCTCAGGACCAGAAGTCTTGCTGTCGGATGTATTTTATACACATACCCAGGACACCGCTTCCAGAAGTAGTTCATCGTCATGCCTGTGAGCCACTCAAGTTAGAGTGTTATTAAATGAGGTGTATGATATAAACATAAGCGAAAGAAGTAGAAAATAACGATTACCTTTGTACTGCAAATAGATAAAGGTTGAATAGGTCAAGATTGTATGGTTGTAAGAAGCATCTCAGCGGGTGTCTGTTCTACAAGTTAACGGTCCTTGGGAGGAAACTTGGGAAGTCGAATGCTATTTTTACTAACGGGATAGGTGGGGAGTCAGAGTGATTGAATCCTGTAGACGTAGGAAGGCGATCATTGGCTAGAAAGGTCTGAACCATCGGCACGAAGAAAGTTTTTCTTTTTCTGAACATTGATCATGAACGCAGCGGAAGCCTTGCGACATTGCGCCTGTCGGTTGTAGGTGTGAAAATATCACTCCATCTAACACGGTCACGTAAGATGATTTTGAACTTTCTCAAGGGCGAAAAGTGAAGATTGTGTAGCTCCAGCTCTGATTAAAATAATATTGTCTGGATCGGAATGCGCGTTAATCCAAAGGTGCAAAGTGAGGTGAGTACGGCGGGCGTTGAAGGATATACGAGCCAACCTAAACCAGTTTCTGTCGGGTTGACAAAGTGTGACCTAAGATTACCGGAGCATTGTAAACCAAAGAGTGAGATCTGGCGTTGTCTCGATGGAAGTCTACCTCTTTCTGATTGGTCAATTCTGCAACCATTTAATCAATTTCTACATTTTTAACCGGTCCAATTGGGAAAAGGACTCGTCTAAATTCAACAGCTGATTTTGGGGAAGAATGAAATTTCAATTCACTTAGAAGCAGGGTTTGACCGTCTTCGTATGCAAACCGGTTTTTTGTTAAACTAAACGGACATCCCAAAATTCAAGTAAGAAAAAAAAAAAAAAACATTTCGTGGACGTCAGAAAGGAGAGTATAAAGTTAAATATTTTACTGAAAATAAATATCTCTAATATTCTTATATTAGGTTGTTCGAAAAATAATGCCAGGTTTTTGAATAAACATTTTGTGTTCTGATATATTATTATAATAGTTACAGAAAAAAAAATATTACTGATTCCTAATGAGTAAAGTTTTCTCTTTGCTAATGTTTGTATCAATCACTTTCAGAATGTTGTTCTCAAATACGAGACGCACACTGCGTACACGCTGGAAAATAAGTTGTTTGGACAAAAAATGTCCGATTTTAGAATAAAAATTTAATTGTGTTTTAATATATTATTTGAATACTGAAATATATTAGTCATTCTTCATAATTAAAGTATGTACTTTCTTAATTATATATCAGTTTCTTGTAGAATTTAACTTAAAGCATTATACAGGGTGTTTCAAAAAGAATACGCAAAAATCATCACATGATATGTCAAAAACGAAAAAAATTACAAACCTCTAGCATGAACACATGTTTTATATATACATTCAAGTTTCATTTCATTCATTTATAAGTGCTCAATGTGGCCACCACCGGCAGCGCGGGCAACATCAAGCCGATAAGAGAATTCCTCCCACACGCGCCTCAGCATGTCACGGTCCACCGTGTTGATTGCAGCTGTTATTCGATTTTTCAAGTCATCGATACTTGCTGGAAGTGCTGGAACATAAACTTGGTCTTTAACATACCCCCACAAGAAAAAGTCACACACAGTGAGTTCCGGGGATCTGGCAGGCCAAGCACAGAGAGCAAGGTCTTTAGCACCTCTCCTTCCAATCCATCGCTGAGGCACGTTTTCATTCAGATAAACTCTAACCCCGAGATGCCAATGTGGTGGTGCTCCATCTTGTTGAAAAATGAAGTCATTCGAATCTGCTTGCAGTAAAGTGAATAGCCATTTTTGCAGCATTTCGAGATAGGTTTGACCGGTTTGTAGCTGCACCGGAAGTTATACTAACGACAGCGGTGAAACTGACACCCAATCAAACTTTGATAACTAGTCTATCAAATAACCACTGATTCAGTCCACTACAATGCTAGAGACCTGAGAAAACAGTGTAATGATTTTGGCGTATTCTTTTTGAAACACCCTGTATAACCCTCACAATGATCATAAAAATCAGATGCGTATTTTATTTTCTTGCAGAGTTTTAAGCTTCTTCATAATACTTCTTAAACAGCTGTCAACTTCAACAGAGCATAGGGTTAAATATCCACTTGACAGAACGGCATTGGTTTCTGATGTCCTTCAGTTGCAGATACGAGTCTTGAAGACCAAGATGAGAAGATGACGCCCACCAGCAACTGGCAGTCAATAAAAACCAACGCCAAATTATCAGAGAAATATTTCTGGGTGTCAGTATTTCAATAGTATCGGACCGTCTCAAGAAAATTAGTAAAGTGAAGAACTCGATAAAATGGTTTTCACGCGAAACTAGTGAAAGTAAAAGAGTTCGATAATATCTCACCTCAGAAATATAGACAGATACTGAAGGGCCGAAACGTGGTAATAAATATGGCGACAAAGATGAGGACAATAGTCCGAATAATGTAAATAGTGGACATAATATCTCATCTTAGAAGTATAGACAGATACTCAAAGCCCGAGACGTTGTAATAAATATGGCGACAAAGATGAGGACAATAGTCTGAATAATGTAAATAGTGTACATAATACCTCATCTCAGAAATATAGACAGATACTGAAAGGCCGAAACGTTGTAATAAATATGGCGACAAAGATGAGGACAATAGTCCGAATAATGTAAATAGTGTACATAATATCTCATCTCAGAAATATAGACAGATACTGATAGGCCGAAACGTTGTAATAAATATGGCGACAAAGATGAGGACAATAATCCGAATAATGTAAAATAGTGTACATGATACCTCATCTCAGAAATATAGACAGATACTGAAAGCCCGAAACGTTGTAATAAATATGGCGACAAAGATGAGGACAATAGTCCGAATAATGGAAATAGTGGACATAATATCTCATCTTAGAAATATAGACAGATACTGAAAGCCCGAAAAGTTGTAATAAATATGGCGACAAAGATGAGGACAATAGTCCGAATAATGTAAATAGTGTACATAATGCCTCATCTCAGAAATATAGACAGACACTGAAAGGCCGAAACGTTGTAATAAATATGGCGACAAAGATGAGGACAATAGTCCGAATAATGTAAATAATGTATATAATAACTCATCTCAGAAAATATAGACAGATACTGAAAGGCCGAAACGTTTTAATGAATATAGCGACAAAGATGAGGACAATAGTCCGAATAATGTAAATAGTGTACATAATATCTCATCTCAGAAATATAGACAGAAGTGAGACATTGTTCTAAAGCGACAGTACAGCTCGCTAAACGAATTAATGGAACACTTAGAGATACCCTCTTCTAAGTGTTAATGGGGAAGCTGGTTACCATTTTGGGTATTAAACATATGAAGCCAATCAATTCGGAAGATATGTAAAACAAAGAATTATCGTGTAAAGAATTCTATGCTCACCGTTTGATGACGTCACGTAACTCATTCAATCATCTTCATTAGTCTCGTGATGTCTTTCATCATTACGCAGTTGTTATGGCTGCTAAAATGGAATCTGAGAAGCTGTTTTTCATAGGAAATAATCAAATACTGCGATCGGAGAATTATAATCATCTGAGAGATGCCGTAAAAATAATTTGGCTCCTGTCAATCTTTGGCAGTTCTGCATTCTACCATCGAGCTTTACAGGAGGTCTTCGATACGTGCATGAAAGGACGCAGGATGTCATGACCTATGTACGCCACTATGGCACGCCCGATCTCTAGGAACAAATATATATATATATATATATATATATATATATATATATATATATATATATATATATATATATATATATAGGTAACTATACTCGTTTCGAAAAACCTTCGAATTTTTGATTTGCCAATAATCAAATCATTCTCGAGGGAAATAAAGGTTTTAAAAAAAGAAAGCGCTAGAAACATGAAAGTCTGTCGAAAAAAAAAATCGCACAGATACAGGTTTGAAGCCTAAAAAAAAAAACCCGACATGAGTAAACAACTAACTAAAAAGAGCTCAATACAACCGTAGAGCAGACCTAGATAAACCTAGTGAGCCAGACAAACCTACCGAGGTTTCACCTAAGCGGATCGTCAGGAAAGCTGACGATCGCTTAGATGAAACCTGGGTAGGTTTGTCTGGCTCACTAGGTATATATATATATATATATATATATATATATATATATATATATATATATATATATAAAAGACTTAAAATATTTAATATTCCATGGTCATAATTTATTCCATTGGAGTCGTAAATACGATCCAATTCATTAGACCGACCTACAAAGTCTATGTTCTGTTTTCTGGTATTTTTTTTTTAATTTGTAGGTCTGATGAATTGGATCGTATTTACGATTCCAATGGAATAAATTATGACCATGGAATATTAGTGTTTAAGCCTTTTTATTATATCCTTACTCTGTCTTGGACATTGAGTTCTACCATGATTCTATCCTGTTGGAATTATTTTTTATACATATATATATATATATATATGTATATGTATGTATATATATTTATATATTTTTATATGTGTATATTTACCACTAATATTATCTATCTATCCATCTATCTATCTATATATATATATATATATATATATATATATATATATATATATATATATATATATATAATATAACATAGATGCAACCCAATGTGAAAGGAAATTGCAGACGAACCATTTCTGTAACAAAAGAATAAAGACATACCTGAACTTCAGAGATTTTCACTAAAAATTGCAGAAGATCATGAACCTGATTAAAAAGGGGAGGAATATTTTGATCGGTAAAGTGTGTCCTGTACACAATTGAGTGTCACAAATGAGAGCTCCCACATGTTCATCTGCTTTGGATGTCAACAAAAATCACTCTGTTGAAATTGACAGGATAACCACGGCAGAGTTTTTCAATCCATCGACAGGCAACAAGGAACCCTTTGAAATCGTTCAAAGGAACATGGCACATGGTTCATGTGTGAGGTGCTTTAACCTTAGCTCGCCATGTCTGAAGAACAATGTATGTTCCAAGAAAATGTTCCCAAGAGATTTCTTTCGGGCAAACAAACTGGTAATGACAGATACCCTTTTTAAAGACGTAGAAGCCCAAAATATTGTGAGTTTTCATTAAAGAGGGGACAACATGAGGTTGATTACCGGTGGATAGTAATTACTCTCTTGTTCCTTAGTGTCAAAGTTATTTAATGGCACAATTAATATTTAGTTCTACAGTTTGGTGAAATCAATAAAGTATCAGAGGCGGCAATGTTTGGATTACAGCAGAAACATAGACGAGATGATGTAACGTAATATAAAATAAGAGTATATATCATTAATAATAAGCCATCTTAATGGATGTTTGGTTTCTTGGTACATAAAAGACACACGGTTATTGTGCAAAACGGACATCTTTTTTACTTCACTAAAGCAAATGCTGTTAAGGCAGTACGCACACCCAATGGTACTCACTCACACCTTTCTTCAAGCTGTACCAAAATGGCCCCGTTTCCCGCAAATTTTTGTACTCCCATGTGCCATCTTATTACGCCTTGAAAGGCAAAAACGAACATGCGCGTAGATTGGTAGGTCAAGATATACCGGAGCACCTTGGGTGGTAGATATTACACTGTACATCACAGCCAAATGAATGCATTTATCTTCATATTCTTCTTCACGAATTACGAGGCATAACATCTTTCCAGGATCTTTAAATGGTTACTAAGCCCAACGGAGAAGCATGCTTGAGTCGAGGTTTACTTGAATGGGATGAAAAATGGCTGAGGCCATTGAGTCGAAATGCCCTGGGAATCTTAGGTCTCCCTTTGCGGTCCTATTGTAAACATTTGTACTAAGCAAAGCATAAGTATATGGGGATAGCTTATCGGAAGAGTTTAAGCGCCAAGCCCAACTCCAATTTTCAGGTACGGTTATAGATTTTATTGATGAAATCTACAACAAGGCGTTAATCGTTATAAAAAAAAAACTGTCATTTTAATTGGTTAAATGCGTTACCGGTATATCGGTTGCCCAAAACTCATCGGACTGAAACCGATACTTTACCCACAGAGGTGCTGAAAGAAAAATCCTAAGACATCATTTCCCTGTGTTAATATGTTGATGAAAATGAGCGAAGGTTGCTTCTGGTCCAAAGAAGAGCTTATGACACTGTATGAATTTCTCGGTATTATAAACCTAATGTCTTCAGCAACCATTTTTACCAAAGTTCATATTGCAATTTTGTTGTTATTATTTCATGTTTTTACCAGATCTCATATAGCAACTTTGTTGTTATCATTGCTTTTCTCTGGCACTCATTATTACTGGTTTCCATATTGTATTTATTTCTATGTTTGGTCGGCTCAGGGGATTTTTGTGGCCTAGCATATGTGCTAATTCCTTAAGTTTACGAATTTTCCAATGGTGTTCCTTGTTTATGATCTCAACATGATCTCACAGAGGGCGGTGATCTCCCTTCTCTCTCCATATGTGGTCAGCCACGCCTGATTTTCCCACTTCCCCTCAGCTTTCTGGTGTTCTTGAAGCCTTACCTTGAGGGGGCGGCCTGTCTCTCCTTTATATTTCTTGCCGCAGCTGCACGGGATAGCGTACACACAATTTTTAGTCATGTTCTCTTCTGGGGGGGTCTTACTCGGGAGAGATATCTGCGAAGTGTCGTCAAGCTTCTACTGGACCTGACTTCATCTGATAATCCAATTTGCGGTATCCATAAAACCTTTCAGTTGTCTCAAGTGCTAAAAATTTGCAGGGTCATTGTATGTGATAAATGCACCATGACACACAGGACAACTCTGGAAGTATTGGAACGAACCATGAAATTCATTAGAGATTGTTAGTTGCCTATTCTAGGGATAATACTCCTGCTATTTAGAGACTTTAGGCAAACACTGCCGATCATACCAAATGTGACCAGAACTGATGACGTCCTTAGCATGTCTCAAATCTACTCCATTGTGCCGGCATATTCAAATGTTGACTCTGAACACCAAAATGAGAGCATTATTATTATAATTATTTGGAGATCAGCTGCCAGCTCAGTTCTCCTACAACATTCTGAGATTTAGTAATGACAACGTACCTTTAGAAGCCAATGGAGGTATGACCATTAGTGTTGTGGATCCCGCGTGAAAAATAGGTATCCAATAAATGACAAACGCAATTATTTAAGCTAAGAAATTAAATGTATTTACACAAAATACAAAAGGTAATGCTGTTGTAAAATCCAGGAACACGGTTAGTAGCAAATACAGATAGATATATACAGTTTCGAAGTAGGACTTCCTTAGAGTCTACGTGCTTGTAACTGACTTCTACAAGAGGTTACTTCACTCTATCCGACTACCGACACTCACAGACGACTCCGGTACGACACATGTACGACTCATCTTCTCTGCCTGACTATGGCTAATTTATGGCAGTAGGACGAGTCCATTATATCCGAAAAGGGTGGACCCCATAACAATTAGTTCATTTGCCATGTTTTCACTACTGCTGATGAGCTTAAGACCAGGGTTTTCCCAAACTTCCAACATAATTACAAAAACTATGTTATGTGACATTACAATACTGGCTCCAAAGAACAAAGCAATGGAAAGAATCATTGACCTACTATTGAAGTTGATCCCGGAAACATTTAATATCTACAGATCAGTGAATACCATTCCTTATACGGAGCAGATGGTCAAATATCTACAAATTTCTAAATTCTCTAGAACTTCACAAACTATCTTCTCATAGACTCCAACACAAAATATGGGTGCTTATAATACTATTACGGAATCTGCACCAACCAAGACATTGTAATGGCACTAGACTGGTTGTTAAGAAATTGATGCCACGTGTAACTGAGTCATCGGTTCGTACTGGGTATGGAAAAGGCAATGTTCCCAGGATTCCTTTTATTCCATCAGGGTCAGATATTCAATTCAGGTTTAGGAAGCTTCAGTTCCAATGCAAGTTAGGTTTGGCTATGCACAAGGTCAGACTATCAGTTACTGGATTACAATTGCAAGAATATTGTTTCTCTTATGGGTAGTTGTGTGTTAGTTCACGTGTGGGAATTAAATCCAATTTGTTTGTTTGTTCCGCAAGGAAAAACAAAGAATATTGTTTACCAATGTAAGAAATGTTTAAAGATATATTTGTGTTTGAATGAATAAATTTGAAATTATAATGCTACTAACATTTATTTTATTTTTAACTTTTTAAGTCCCTGTAGTATATATATGTGCGTGTGTGTGTATGTGTGTATGTGTATATATATGGATATGTATGTATATGTATGTGTGTATGTGCACGGATATGTATGTAGATGTATATTTCTGGATACATAGAATATTATAAAAGAAGGACTCTCATTTTCTCATTTAATAGTCTCAAAATGGAAGTGTGAGTTTAAAATTCTTTATAATATGGAGGAAATTTTTTTTAAATTGACAATTTAATTTAAATTGAAATATATTACCCTTTAATAATCATTATTGATGATAAAATATTTAAATTGGAAATTTTTTTGATATTTAGGTAGATGTTAATACATGAAGTTACCTATGTATTTCGGTACATGGGTACCTGTATGAGTGATTGAATATGTAAAGGAACGTGTGTATATGTGATATTGGCATGGGTGTGTGTACAGTATATGACAGAGCAAGATCTTTAATATTACCTTCAAATATTTCCCCATATTAACTTAACTAAAATTTAAGTAAAAGAGATTGCCTATCTAGAAACAGTCACGAGTTAAATTCATGAACAAAATTCAAACGAATAGAGATGTCAACTTAATAATCAATAATAATTTTTTTAAAAAGATTAAAAAAAAGAGATTACTAGAAGTAAACTTATATTTTAAAATAAATTTTATTCTTTTAATGTACTTTCTATGAATATTTTTCTAATCGACTATTTCATAGAAAATCCCCAAAATTTAAAAAAAAAAATTAAATCACTAACAAACATCAAATTAAATTATTTATAGACAGTCTAGAGACATTCAAATTTATATCAAACATTATAATCTTTATGAACCCCCAAAATAACACTTTCAAAGTAAAGTAAAATAACAGCGTCTGTTTCTAGCCTTTTTTTACAAAGAAAACTAGTGACACTTTCTCTCATAATTTCCTTATCTCTTTTTCTACCCCTTCGATATCAATATATAACTTCCGTTAAGTTAACCATTTAAATGTGTCAATATCTGCTAAGTCACTCATGTCTTCCCTCCCCTTCACTTCCTCACTTCGTTAATTTACATATGTTTTAAACTACATATATATATATATATATATATATATATATATATATATATATATATATATATATATGTACCCCACCAAGTCTGAAAAATGGATTCTTTAATTCTTTTTTGTTTTAAAAAACTCGTTAAAATGCAATTTTTAAGCAAAGGATTTTGCATTGACAAGCCCCAGGAATGTATCCCGGGGATGAAATGCCCCTCTGAACTGGGGTTATAGTTTCGTTTTTATGTAATTCATATATATATATATATATATATATATATATATATATATATGTGTGTGTGTGTGTGTGTGTATGTATAATTGTGTATTTCAGTAGCAATCCGTCTTTTATTCAAAGTTTCATTTACGTAAGTATGAGTCTTATCAGCTTGTCTAATGAAGATGCAAGAATTGTTTGTTTGTTTTTTAAACTTTTGCGGCAATTTTGAGATTTTATTGCGACGATGCAAACTTTAGAGAGGTTCTACCTTGAGAAGTTCTCTCAGCTTTGAATGGGGATTTATTACTTTGTCAGTTTCCAGTTGAGATAATGTACACACACACACACACGCACACACACACACACACACACACACACACACACGCACACACACACACATACATATATATATATATACATATATGTGTATTAGCACGTAAGTGAATGTAATGGATTCGATTGTAATTCTCCGATCCGGTTTCCGATTCTTTAATCCGTGCCTCCATACACACACACATGCACACACACACACAAACATACACACACACACACATATATATATATATATATATATATATATATATTTATAAATAAATTTCCGAGAGGATAGAATCCAGGTAGAACTCAATGTTATGCAACATCAGATAGTTTTCTGATATTTTTATATACCTAGGTATATATGTAGGCTTAAGAGATATATACATGATAATCACTCCGTGGGGTTAATATTATTAACGTTTTCTTCCTCTGTAGTTATTTTAAGTACAAATTAGTTTAATTCTAGCCATCTAATTTTATGTTAAATGTATGTATGTATGTATGTGTGTTTTTTACCTTTTACATTTTAATTTATATATATATATATATATATATATATATATATATATGTGTGTGTGTGTGTGTGTGTGTGTATATGTATGGATAGATAGATAAATAGTTACGTTGTATATGTATGGATGTATGTAAGGTTTTATGTTGATATGTTTATGTGCATATATGTTTGTGTATGTGTATATGTATTCATAAGTGTTTTTGTATTGGGATATATATATATATATATATGTGCGCACGTATATGTATATATGTGCGAATAGATATAGACATGTTGTTGTGTATGTGTGTATCTACGTATGTGTTTTTGACCTTAGAAACAATAGGTCCTTACTAGATTAAATATTAGTTAGATTTTATAGGTTTATGCTAGATTTGTAACC